AAACAAAGTGACTTGGTAGTGCCCCTGACATTTCTCACGCGGTACAGTGATGAGGGAGAAAACTTTTAAACCAATTGTGACAGGTGATGAAACTTGGGTGTGTCATTTCACACCAGAATCGAAACAACAGTCGATGGAGTGGAGACACACTCATTTTCCGAAAAAACAAAAGTTCAAAGTGAGAATGTCATCACAAAAATCATAGCACTGTCTTCTGGGAGGAATGCGTTTTGCTTCTGAATTTCTCCCAGAGGTGAAACCATTAATGCGGCACAATATTGTGAGACTTTAACAAAACTAAGGCGTGCCATCAAAACAAACGAGAGAATGCCGTAAAGGAATGTGTTGCTCCATGACAATGCTCGCCCCATACTGCTGGTGTCACTCAATCGTTATTCGATAGTTTCATTGGGAGCAGTTTCAATCACCCCACGTACAGCGGACTTGGCGCCATCCGTCGATCACTTGTTCCGCCATGAAGCGCGAGCTGGTGGCAAGCTTTGGATCTGACGATGACACGAAAATGCTGTGGGATACTGGTTATCGAACTGGCGGGAGTTTCTTTACGATGGTATCAAAAACTGGTCACTCGCTATGACAGGTGTTTGATCATGCGGAAATAGTTGTTGAAAATATAGTTTAAGACATGTATTTCATGTAAAATAAAATTGGATTCGAAAAATTGTTTTATATTTTTTTTTCAAAACGGTGCTTAGTTTCCGAATCGCTCGTATATTAGTAGGATGTAATCATTAAATAGGATCAACATTGTTTTTGAAACAGTTTTTTTTTTTTTTTTTTAATTTTTATAAATACATTGAATGTTTTTTGAGAGAAATGGGGATGACAACTCTCATTTTTTAGGTAACTGTCTTTGTTTGTTCTTGAAGTACTTTTTATTTTAAATTGACACAGTAGTAAAAAATAACGATCACATTTGCCAATTATTGCAGTTTGCTACGTTTTGAATATATTTTAAAATAATATTTTTTACAATTTTATTAGTATGTGTGAAATAATATTTTTTAAAATTTTATTAGTATGTGTGAAATTCAGTATTAATCTGCATATAATATACATAATATCCTTTATTTTTGCGATGTTAATCCTACACAAATCCTTCTAATCAAACAGATGTTTTCGATAAAAAAAGATATTTGTCATGGCATTTTTAAATTTAAAAAAAGTTTTGTAAGATTAACTAAATTTAACTTTTTATATGCTGCCTTCATCCATATAGTTTCATTCAATTTAAGTTTATACTTATTATAAAGAATTAAAAAAGAAATCACAACTTCTGTATGAAAAAAGGTGGTGATGGAGATATTTAAAGTTTGAGAACATATTCAAGAGTTAGTTGTAAATTGAAGAGTGAAATGTTTGCATCTATATATAATTAAAAATGGAATGCCGATTGTGAAAATAATTTCTGGTGTTAATAGTGACGAGCATTGCTATACATATTATCATAAAATGTTTCAAATAATACAAAATTTCCTGAAGGAAGATCTTATTCACAGATTATTACAGAATTTGTGTTATTGAGAAATTGGTAAACCGCACAGTGTTAGCACATAGCAATTCATAGCATTATTTGCAAAAATTAAAACTGAAAAATATTTCTAGGCTATTTTTTTTTGGTAGGAGATTAATGACAATTAGATTGTTATCTTGAAGTAATAAAAGTGCATGGGTATATTACTGGTACATTTAAAAATTTATAAACTGCTTTTGTGTACTTTAAATTAATTTTAGCATATATAAATTAATAAGCATAATTAATAATAAATAATAATAATTAATAATTAGCATATATAAATTAATTTTAGCAATGTAACAAATTATAATTTAAGATTGTTACATGCTGGGCAAAAATTCAATCTAGAATTATTTTAATTTCTTTTTTAACTGACACTTAAAGGTAAGCTAATAAAAGATGTTAAAAATTCCAGATTTTGAAATTAAATACCTGTCAGTTTTTGTCATATGGGTGTCAAAAAATTCCGGTCATGAGATTTTTTGTCATTTGTTATACACTCATGTCCATAAATTAAGGATAATGCAAAATCAGGCAAAGGAAGAGTTAGAAGCAAAACAAATTTGACTTATTTGTAAAGCTTATTTATTAAACAGAAGGTAAAGAGCAAAAAAAGATGCTATATGTGTGATATTAATAAAAAAATTAGCGATTTTTTTCCTCCCTGGAGCAAATTGAAAAAAAAAAAAAAAAAATATTACATGGTTGGTATGATTGTTAATACATTGTATGTCTCCCATACAATGCAATACAGTCCGTACAACACCTAGGCATGCTGAGTATCAAATTATCAATCTGATCTTGGGGGATATTACACCACTCAAAAAGCAATGCTCTCCGAAGTTCTGGTAGACATGTAGGAGGAGGTTGACGGGCTGAAACTCATCGGCCAAGCATGTCCCACATGTGCTCTTCTGAATTCAAGTCCGCTGAGAATGCTGGCCAGTCCATACGGGTTATATCCTGCGATTGAAGGCATTCGTTTATGATGTTTGCACGGTGAGGACGGGTGTTGTCATTTATAAACACAAATTGTGCACCCATGGCACCCCAAAACAAATGTACATGTTGTTTCAGTGACATCCCGATAGATTTGGCTTGTCATGGTTCCGATTTGAACATGCAGGTCAGTTCTGGAACCCAGAATAATTCCACTCAAAACGAGCACTCCTGCACCACCGTAACGGTGTCGTTCAATGATGTTTTCTTGGTGGGAACGGGTACCTGGAACTCTCCATATGAAAGTCCGGTGAGAATCAGACTGCAAGCTAAACCTGGACTCGTCGGAAAACATCACACAAGTCCACTGTTGCGGTGTCTACAATGCATGCTCTCTACTCCAAGCTAACCGCAGGCGACAGTGAGTTGCAGTAAGTGGAACGCATCTGACAGGTCTACGAACCTATAGACCAATCTGCCCTAAGCGTCTGTACACGGTCTGCCTTGTAATTGTCGTACCAGTGGCTGAAGAGAGCTGACGAGGCAGGTCTGAGGCTGTGTTCTGCCTGTTTTTTTTTAGCAGTAACTGCCAAATACCGGTCCTCATTTGCCGTTGTAACTCTGGGGTGACCTGTGCTGTAAAGTCTACTCACATTACCATCATCTTGGAATCGTTGCCAAAGCCTGAAGATGACACTCTGGGTAATTCCAAGTTCATCTGATACTTCCAGTTGGGTACACTCACATTCCAGAGGGCCGATAATTCTACCACGTAAAAAATCTTCCAAATGCGTCCTTTGTATCATAACTATTCGATTATTGCACTGAAATGCTTATAAAGCCCCTGCGAACAATTTTACTTCTTTGCCTGTATTCCTGATATATCACTCTCTTACCTTCTCGTCATTGTGACGTACCATCGGTATCATCTGGTTACTTCCTGAAATTTGCATATGATTTTTGAAGATGTGTGTAGTGATTTTACATGTGATATATTTATTTTAGAGTTCAATTTCTGCATGACTCCGAATTATCCTTAATTTATGGACATGAGTGTATATTAGCTTATAATTTATGATATTTTGCTTTCTTACTTTCTTTAATAATATAAATATCATCTTAATAAATGAAAGTTTATTAAAATAGAGCCTAAAGTAAGTAAATATACAAATTTAGCTAATAAAGTGTCTTTGAAGGGTGAATTATGTATATAAACTATCACTAAACAAACATAAGTATAGGGACCGTATAAAAAGTTACGATTTAATAATTTTCACTAAACTGACTTTTTAAATCCATATGTGCCAAAACTTGAATATTTGAATCATTTAATTTTTTTGCTTCAACTGATATTATATAATGTCTATGTTTAACGACCGCAGAAGTAAAGAACACATAAAGGTTTTTGTGAAAAATGGTATATATTCTTAAAATGATGCTATTCTAAGTAAAAAAATTGAACTACATACTAATAGCCATTATTCAGTTATTGAGATTTCAGAGCAGAAGCATTAAATAGCATGATCTAAAAATAATAAAATGGCAATTATAAGCTCTACATTTATTATTCTGGTAATATTTAATCTTTTGATGGTCATCAATGACCTTAACTTGCATTACAATTATGCACTGCAATGGGCACGAACATACAGCTCGTATTACAAATTTACAACTGACAGATATTGCGTGTACATGGGAAGAAATAATTTCTTATTTTAACTGCCAAAGTATTAATTTTGTCAGAAGTTACATTTTTTAAAATAAATATTTAAAGATGTGAAGAATTTTGAGTAAAATATTCTTATGTTAACAAAAATAAATAAATAAAGGTAAATAAAAAATTTTGTTCATAAATTCTGATTTAAGGACATTTTTCTTCAAGGATGCTCACTTAAGCCTCAAAAGTATCTTGCACATGAGGTTTTATTATGTACTGTAACTCATCTCTTCATGGTATGAAAATGCAAGATCTGGAGGGGGTATGCAATATACTACAGCTATGTGAAAACTGCTGTTAAAATAAAAATAATAATAAAAAAGAGCATAATTATTTTTTTACTGTCATGTAATAATTGTGTTTGAACCAAATATTAACTTGAACTGAAAAAATCAATGCTAATAGATGTCACAGAGATTGAATGCAACTTAGGGGAATTTAACTAAAGGATAAAGTTTATTGACAGCTATGGTAATATTAAAAACACACACAAAATTGGGGGGAGCAATCGGTATATGTTCCTGTGAAACTGAAGAAATGAGAAAGAATAATCCTATCCTTACACAGACACCATCTTCAAATAATTTATTGACGAGAAAGATGTTACTCTTCCTAACAATAAATAATATCATGTATATATTATCATACTGTTCCTTTTAATGTTATTTCCTAATTTTGTATAAAAATTTTATTTCTTAGTCATATTTAACATATTTGATTTTACACATAAACAAGTACTTTTTAACCTTTCTCACATAAAATAGTATATTATTTGAGGAATCAATTCAGCATCAAATTCTTTTGTAGGTACTGTGAATGACTTAGTATTACCAACATCAAGTATGCCCTCCTTACAACCTACATCTCTTCCATCAGCAGTTACAGTTAATTCTGAGAATGTGACTGTAAAGAATAATGCAACAGTATCTGTTTCTCCCACTTCACCAATACCTCCTCCTCCTGCTCCACCAGCACCACCGCTGCCACCACCATCACTGCCTGCATCCTTGCCACAGAGTCCAACAGCTGATCGATCAGCCCTCTTGAGTTCTATCCAAGGCTTCAATAAACATGCTTTAAAAAAGGCTGAAACCAAGGATTGTAGCGCTCCAAAAATTTGAGTATTAATTATTTAATATTTATATATATAATACAGTAGAGAATTAAGTTTTTTACATGTATTATAGATGTGTAAATTTACATAAATTACTAATTTCAAACACATTTTTGCAGTATGAAAGGTATCAAAGCAATTTTTTAGCACCACAACGAACAAATATTAAGGAACAATTACCATTATTAAAGTATTATGATTTTAATAGATTTTTTTTTTGTAGATACTTTGCTTCATACATTTTTATTAACTTTTAATTATCATTATTTTTAATCTATTAGTTAGTTTAGTTTTACATTAAGTTACGTATCTCTAACTTCACCTGATTTCAGGAAGGTATTAGCATGGCTATTTTAAACTTATCATATCTTATGATTTTAAATAATTTAAAAGGATGTATGTGTGTGAAAGAGAAGTGTAAATAATTTGAAGAAAATATTTATTTCGATTAAAGCATAATTCTGTGTTAATAAAATATCAAAATATTAATTTGAATGGATATTTTATATGAACATAGGAAAAAATGATATTTGCTAAGTGCTCAGTTTTTGGAACCATCGTCAAATGTTTTTGTAAAACAAGTATTTTACATGTGGATAAGATTTTGCTACACGTGTCAGGAAACTGTCATGTATTTTCTAAAATTATTTAATTATTCCAAAGTGAACTGGAATTTTTTTCAATGCTCATTTCATGTAATAAAATAAAATATGGTTATTTGCTAATGCTGAATATATATTCAGTTTATAGACATTGTTAATATTCATATGAATGAAAGTTTGCTGTCCATATATTTACATGTAAGAAAGTATAATGCCAGTTTTGTGTTTTCTTATTTTACAAGTTATTTGTATGCATTCATTTTTTCCCTGTGAAATTCATGAGATTGTTTATAGTATAATCATTTTTAATTCCTGTAATAATTTTATAATTATTCTTTATTTAATAAACCTAACATACAGAAGATATCTTTTATTATTATAACTTATTGTTTATATCATAATCATTTTTAATTTATGTAATAATTTTTGCAAGTGTTCTTTATTTAATAGACCTAACAATACAGATATCTTTTATTATTATAACTTACAAATTTTAAATGTTGTGTGCTAGAATATTTTATTTTTTGTAATATATGAAAAGCATTATTATAATATGAGAGCTGTAGTTTTGTCTTACATGATATATTTTAGAGGTCTGTACATTTTACTAATGCTGATATGTCATGATGTTCTCTACTGTAAACATAAGGTAATACAAAGGTAGAAGATGAAACAAGCCAAAGACCAACTTTTGATGTGTACAATTGTTTGCTTAATTTATAAATCTTTATGCTTGGAATCTAAGGCTTGTCTATTTATATTTTGTAATTTAAAGAATCATTAAATTATAAACTTGTAGATACCATTGTGAAGCTCATAATTTGCATCCAAGCGAAATTATATGTTTTGAGGAAATTATATCACTTAAACACTACTATAACAACATATTATAAAATCTTATGCCATGCATTCAGATATGCCTAAGATCTCAGTGAGTTTCCTTCTGTAGGTTAAAGGCTAAAAATACTTTGCTACAAGCCATGTTTAGAAGAATCTGAAACAGCATACCCATAATTTTTTTTCCTTCTGTCAAATGACTAAGATTTCAGCTTCGAAGGATATCTCTACTTTATTGGATACTTCTGTTATATACAAGTGTATATGTTACCGTGAAATACCGAAATTGGAGAATGTCGACTTTCACCAGAGAATATCAACATTCACCAAATACGTCGGTGAAAGACCAAATATTTCACTACATTCTTGTATATTCAGACCCTCACTGGTGTATGTCGACAATCACAGATATGCTCTGGTGAAAGTCGAAAAGAGAGGTCATAAAGTGTCATAATAGTTTAAGTTGTTGCAATAAATAAGATTTGAATCACATAATTTAGTAAGTTTTTTATTACTGTTATTTTATTTTCTCATTTAGAACGTACTGTATAATTAAGTAAGTTTTTAACTTCTATTATTTTCCTTCTCATTTTGAATGTATTGTGTTTTAGGTTCTCATGTTCTTAAGTTCTTATTTCAAGTCTGAAGTGTGTTTATTCGCGACTGAATTATGGAGAAGAAAATATAATATTGTTATATGTTCAACATTCACTATTAGTACATGATGAATGTCGACATTGACCAGTGTAAGTCAGAAATAAAGAGTATTTGGAAAATATTTCGGACATACACCAAGAGACTATGTGAATGTTGATATTCACCGGTGAAAATCGACATTCTCCAGATTTTGGTGTTTCAACGTAACATATATATACCTATTCAGTAGAATATTTTAGATTTTTTTTAATAAGTTTATTTACTTCTGCAGGAAAAAGATTGTAACATTGCTTTTTCACTGCAGAAAAGTATAGTAATATAAATTTTAAAATGGCAAATAAAAGCTACACATAAAATTTCATCCAGAAGCTTTATATACACTGGTCATTAAAATTAAAAAGATGAGGAAAAAAAATGCTCATTAAGTTAATGTTGCAACCAATGCTGTAACTATTTATATTAATTAAATACAAACTGAACACAAAATTACACTTCTGCGCATACATTAGCATCAGAAATATGCAAATTTAGCGATTGAATATGTGGTGTGCAATGTACACATGTTGGAATTCTGGTCTATAATGTTGTTTCTGAGGGTGATCAGTACGGTAGTTACGGCTCAAAGGCATCATTTAAGTGCAGAAGTAGCAAGTAATTGGTAGAATCGAGGGCGATTAAACATAAATGGAGGCTGCTCAAGAATTGAATATCTCACAAAGTGTCATATCAAGAGTTTGGAGCCGCTTTTTAAGCACTGGATCAGTTAATAGACAGATTGGTCAAGAGCAACAACTGTGTCAGACTATTTTTTGTCATTGTCAACTCAAAGAAACTGCAAAGTGACTATACGAGATTTGGTTTCAGACTTTCAGGCTGCCACAAGAACCCAAATTAGCCATTTTACTGCTGCACAAAAGTATAACGCGGTTGGAATGTATGTGAGAAAATCGATGGTTTGTGTCCCATTTACTCCAGCTTCCAGAGAGGCCCGTTTAAACTTGTGTCTTTGTCATGTTCAATGAAGCCAAGATGACTGGACCTAAATATTGTTTACTGACAAGTCCAGATATAGTCTGAAAAGTGATTCTACTTATGTTCTGATCTGGAGAGAGGAAGGAACATGCAACTTGCCTTCTCTTCTCTATGAAATATCTTATTTCTGCAACTGTGGTTTAAGGTTTGGGGAGGAATCATAAAAAATGATTGCATATCTTTGAAGGAGCTTCTGTAACCGTTCAGAGATATATAGACGAGGTATTGGAACCTCGAGTTAAGACGGTTTAGGGATGCTGTTGGCCTAGAGGTTTTGTTAATAGATGACAATGCTCGGCATCAATGAGCATATATGGTGTCAGAATACTTGCAAATACAAAGATGTCACTCGAATGGATTAGCCACCTTACTCATCCGACTTGAACACGTGTGGGATGCTTTAGGATGCCAAATTTCTCTCCAGACCCTCCAGGAGCAGAAAAGTGTACTTAATAGAAGAAAGGCATGAAATTCTACAAGAACTTGATTAACACTTTGGTCAAGTCTACAAAATCAAACTGTGAGGTATGCCTATCTGTGCAAGGTGACCATACACTATATTAAAGAAAAATGTTTTCCACATGAGGTGACATTTTTTTCATTATTTTCTAATTTCTATTAATTTGCTTTTTAATTTCAATATTTTGTGAATAATCAACTGTCCAACATAGCAATTTGTCTAATGCTTTTGTACAAATTTCTATTAATTTTTCATTACCCTTAATTTTGATAAGCAGCGTATTTAAAAATAAATAAGTAAAATAAATAACAGTAGCTTCAATTTTGGCCACTCTTCTTACTAACCAGAAATACAGGGAAGCAGTGAGAGTCCGTTGCTCTGTAACACTCTTCTTATCATGCCGATCTCCCGCCTTTTTTAGTAGTGCATTTCAAATAGGTAAAATTGAAATATACACTATTTACTTGAAAATACTACCTTCCTTACATTTTAGGATAAAACTGTAGGTGAATATCAGGTAAGAGTATGCACTCTAATTACAAAGAAAAGTAATTAAGTATAATATTTCACCACAATACAAAAAGAAAAATGAGAAATCAGTGGACTGTTGTCATTACCTCAGCTAATGAAATATCTGAGCTAGGCATAGCCATTATAATTAGCATTATATATGCAATTTATGCATTCTTTATAACCTTAAATTTAAAATTAAAACAGTTATTAAAGATTTGTTACATTTAACATATATTTATAAATATATGAATTATATTTAATAAGGATATACTGATTTTGCTGCACTTCTATTAATGTCTAAAATTTTCATTGTTTTTGTTTCAGCTAGGTCTAAAGTAAGGGTTCTCAGTTGGGGAGGATTTCTCATTTACTCAGAACCCATAACAGATTTGCTAAAAAAATCACAAGCATATAATAAAGAAATAAGTCATTAGACATTTTAAGTTGAAATGTTCAAAATACTGTCCATTTCATTCCATTACACTTCTTATAAAGTAAGCATTATTTCTACCAGTTTTTTTTTTTTTTTTTAATGTATTAAGAGATTAGCTTTAAGATTTTTATTACTTAGTCTTATCATCAATAAACATGGTTAGCACTTAAAACATTTTAAATTCAAAATAAATTTTATAACTACTGCAAAATATGCTAATGTGTTAGCTGCAATATATACTATGAAACGAATGCTCGTAGTATTAGAATATTAAGCAGTCTGGAAGTTACACGTATTTATTTGTACAAATAACATACTAAAATGAACAAAATGGAAGGAACTTCATATGCATGACATAATTGTCTAAACATGATATGAATGTCCTAGATTGGGATTATGTCTTGCTAACACTGCATGGCCTTCCATCTAATCTTCAAGTTATATTGCTATAAAGTTAACAGTCATTTAACATACAATATGTGAAGCTTTTACTTCAGTCACTTAAAAGAAATAAAGGTATTTTAACTTGTGTGCCCCACATGAAAGAGTACATACAGGCCACTTGAAAGCTAGCTACCAAGTTTATTAGAAATGCAGAAACTTGTTGGAAGTTCTGTCCTGGAAACTGTACTTTCTTAAAATTTGTCTCATACTTAAATCCAAATTATGAAATTTTTGTTTATATTAGTTCTTCACCTGTCTGAGATAATAAAATTTATCATAATCAATTAAAATATGCTATTTTTAGAATGTACCTCAACTGAAATTTGTAAAATTTCCTAAATTAGGATTTAAATACAATTCTCATTAATTATGAAAATGACAATTACTAAATTTCATAATTATTATTTTAAGCTGAAACAGCTTGCATGTGTAGCTTAATTAAAAAGGAATTATATGCATCAATGATATTGCATTTATTTGCCCAAGTTAAACAACTTTTAAGTAGAATTTGGATTGTTTGAAAAAAAAAAAAAAAGTTGAACTAACATGAATATGAGAATTTAATACCTCTAATCTGATCAAAAAACATATTCTAAAAAAGTTATGAGCATAAAATATATTAAACTTTGCCTAAATTTTCTTCTTTATAAGAGAAAGAATATGTTTTATATTTGATTTTTTTTTTCAAACCATTTAGCATATTATAAATCAAATAAGATTTATGTATAATATTTAGCATACACATTACTTTTCTGATTGATAATATAGACAGTATCACACGGAAAGACAAAACAGCTCTGATGTCCAACATAAATATTTATTAAGACTCTAGTATATCCCACATACATTGATGAATTTTACAAGATCAGTCTAATGCTAATATTTCAAAAATTAAAATCTAATACATAACATAACTTTAAAATATTAAGCTAGCAAATGCAATGGATAGTATAACATCAAAATCCATGCATTTTAAATTTCTTTATCATCTGCAAACACTTAAGATGAAGAATGCAGATCAGTTGAAGTGAAATTTAACATCACGAATTTAAAATTTAAGACAAAAAGTAAAGCTACAAAAATAATTCTTCCCATAAATAAAAATTAAACTAATCTACATTTAACAGATTTGTAATAATTTAACAGCTACATATAAAACTAAAAAATTGTCACAATTTATTATAAGAAACCTTAATATATTCTTTTCTTTAAATAATTTTATCTAGTGTGTCTGTGGATTACAGTATAACCAGTTATTTTTATTTTCTTTCACTAAGAATGAATTAAATGATTGTTTAATAGAATCTGATGGAGCTGTGTAAGTTGGGACTTCCTTAAGTTGCTGTGAAATGCATTTTGCATGATCAGATTCTTTTTTATGGAGCCATTCAGAAACGGAAGAGGCATCATTGTGAAATGACTTCATATTAAAACCATTTTTAAAATTCATACATATATATTTTACTCTCTGTGAATGACTAGCTTCTTGATTACTAAAAGTATTAAGAAATTGATTATTTAGTTGATTTTTAAGTTGTGAAGAGGGTTCATATTGTAAATAGGTTTCATTGTTTGGCACTGAGGAAGGAATGATGTGATTCATTTTCAATTTTTTTGGTTCAGTAGTATTACTTAGCCAACTGGATACTTCTGAAGATTGTCTACATTGATTAAAACACCAATTTTCCATGCTATGGAGGTTCTCGGATGCAAAATTTGACTCCAGTGTCAGTCTACATAGGTCCTGATGAGAAGAAACATAAAATTAGCAAACTCATATTACTTTGCTGAAAGTTCTTGAAAAACTGACTTTTGATGCTTTAAATGACAATATACAAGATGAATAATATATTTGACACTTTCATTTCTTAACTATAATTAAATTTGTTGTACCTGATTCTAATATATATTAACACCACCACAGCTGTCAACCTTGAAATACAAAAATGAGAAGTGTTTTGTACAACATGATGCCATTATTTCAGAACCCTAAATTAACTTAACTTTATAATGCATGGTTCAGGTTATTGAACTATTAATAATATGATTCTGACGTAAAATATATCAATATTTAATTAGATAGTTTAGATTTTATGTATGGTGTATTACATTTTAAAATTTTATTACACTTTTATACTGAGATCTTCCTGAACAGGAAGGAACAGCCCAAAGTACTTTTAAAAAGAAAATACTAATAATTATTAAGGTACACAATATGTGGATAATCTTAGTAATGTACCATTTATTGATGTAAAACAAAAAGTACCGTAATTTCCGGAAGAAACGAAGCGGTGTTTACGTGTTTAAAACTTAAATTTTCAGCGGGTGCGGCGTTTCTACCCATGCATCGTTTAGGTGCACTAAAATTAAAATATTTCCTATGATGGTCATTGTACATAGTTTGGATGGCCTTGTCATTGTGCATAGACTGGTGCTGTTCCCACACAAAAGACCACTTTAGTTGCTTTTTGCGAACGTTATTTTGTTTACATTCTTTCCCTTGAACGGACCTACATGCCTTATTCACCTTAAGCGAGATCTCAGAACAATGACATTCTTTCCCCTTTTAAATCAACATTCTCATCAGTTTGAATAGTCTCTCTCCTCTGCTATTCGATGAATCTTCCAAGACCCATCCTCTCTCCACCCCTGCCTTTTCTGCAATTTTTTTCAAAGGCAGACATGACTCCACCTGCCTCGCAATAACGAACTCTGACGTATTTCCCCTTCAGCATGAATGGATTTTTCTTGGCATTCTGCCAGATACAGATCCCATCAGTTTGGGTACAAGTACTTGTTGGATAGTTTTTAAGTAAGAAGGGAGCGGGAAAATTTTTGAAAATGTCCCTAAACGGCACAGAAGCTATACTGCTGGTTTTAAGCTTAATGTAATTTCACGTGCTGAACAAATTGGAAATCGAGCAGCAGCTCGAGAGTTTGAAGTGGACGACAGATGTATTCGACGTTGGAGAACTGAAAAAGAACTTCTTAAAAATATGCCCCAAAAGAAGTGGTACTGTAAGGTGGCCAAATGTAGAGGACGACCTTGCAAACTAGATAAAGGAGCAATGAGGAAAGGGAATGGCAATTTCGACTGTAAAAATTGGCTTACAAGCAAAATTTATAGCAAAATGAATAAACATAAATTACTTCAAAGGAGGTGTAGCAGATTTATGAAAAGAAAAAAATATTTCTGTGCATACTAGAACAACAGTCGGGTAACAATTACCACCAATGGACCGGCAGGATAAAAAGACATCTTTTCTAAAATATGTGACAGCTATTCTTGACAAAAAAAAAAAAAAAAAAAAAAAAAAACTTCTTCGGTCACAGATAATAAATATGGATGAAACACTGTTAGCTTTCAACTCTCCTGCAAACAGAACTGTTGATGAAACTGGTGCAAAGACGTGGGGCATGAAAGAACGTCATTTACATGTGTGTTAGCTTGTGCCGCAAACGGTAACAAGCTAAAGCCGATGATCAATTTTAAACGAAAGACTATTCCGAAGGGAGATTTTCCTAATGACGTAATTATTTGTGCAAACGAGAATGGCTAGATGTGTGAAACAATCATGCATGAGTGGCTACAAAAAGTTTGGCAATGTCGTATGGGATCTTTTTTCCAACCAAAGGGCTTATTGATAATGGATTCCATGCATGCTCATTTCTTTGAGTCAGTGAAAACCAGATGTCAAAAATTGTCTACGAACGAAGCAACAATTCCTGGTGGTTTGACAAAAATCTTACAACCGTAAGATTTGTCAGGTAATAAATCCTTCAAAGCTGAAGTCCGAAAGCAATGGGAGTGTTGGATGAGTGAAGGATTGCATACGTAAACCAAAAGCGTTAAAATGCGTAGAGCCCCCCCCCCCCCCCCCCCCCCCTCCCCCCCCCCCCCCCCCCCCCCCCCCCCCCCCCCCCCCCCCCTTTTGTGAAGAAATTGCAAAGTGGGCAGGAAGTGCGTGGAAATCACATTAGAAACATCGTCAATAATAGCAGGGTTTCAAAGAAGCTGAAATTATATCCTTAGATAAAGAGACTGTAAATCAAGAGGATGAATGTGATGATCTGGAAGACTTAGATCAGGATTTACTAAATCATTTTAATTCAGATAGTTAAGAATCAGATTTTGATGCCTTCATATGATGTATAGTTTGCTGTAATTTGTAAGTAAAATTTAAAGAGTTATGGTTTTATTTCATGCATTTTTCTTAACTGGTATGTCATATACAGTCAAAAGTCGTTAATCCGGACTCGTCGGGACTTCGGCAATTCCGGATTATAGATCATCAGTTTAAATCTCGTAAGATGGCATGCAGAAATTCTAAAATTAAAAATATGAAACCGTAATTTATGAAATAAAGAACAATTATGATCTAAAGGGTATCAAAATTTGCAAAAAGAAAAAGCTTAATATTTATTGTTTACTTTATTAAACATTTCTTCAATGTAAGTTGTTTAAGTTTTGCTTCGTTTCATGTGATAATACTTTCTCTTTAATTCTATTAAACAGACATAATTTCTTGTTCAGTTACAAGTTCCGCTGTTCAAGTCCTATAGTTGCTGTGTCGAGAACCGACTAATTTGTCAATCGAAATTTTTTCGTTTTCAATAACCTATGTCACTTTTCTTCGCTATTGGAAGCGAATTATAATGACGAGGAACTTGATTTAAATCATATCAAAGACGGAGCATATCGAGATGAAATACTACATTTGGTAAGGAATTATAAGCCAAATAAAAACATCTGCGCTGAAGATAAGGATAGTGCTGACAAATCAACTTCCAATTTATTACGCGCCCGCCGCGGCGTTCCCCCCGCCGAGCAGTGTGAAATTGATAAACAGATTTCGGATTTCAAAACATACTTTCGCTTTAGATCCTTTACATATTAACAAATATATATCGGAAATTCTATTTGATATAATCGAAAGTTTAAGCTTACTTTTATAAAATTGCTCTTACAGTCTGCAAAAAATAATAAGCCGGATCCAATTCGAAAATTAAGGAACAACGCAATCATCAACATTAACTGAAATAGATAATTAGCTAATTTTAGCTTATACGTCCATTATACATAAAACGCGCACGCGAAAACGTATTCTGCACTTGCGCACACTCACATGCGTAGTCGTAAAAGGTCTTACGTGCACGCGTAAACGCCTATGCGCATGTGTCAACGCGGTGCATGTGCAGACAGTTTTTAGTTTTGAGGTCCGGATTATAGATCATTCCGAATTATGGGTGTCCGAATTAACGAGTTTTGACTGTATCAGGACTTAGGTTGAGTTTTTGCATCTATACGGCCCACGACGATGTCACGCGCAATTTAATCTATTGCGGCGTTTCTGTGCAATTTTAATTTTTTTCAAGCCATTTTTTTTCGAGTGCGGCCTTTCTTCCAGAAATTATGGTAACTGATTATAAAGGAATCAGTTAATATTTGTATTTATTTTGTGTTTAATATTATATACCAATGTTAATTAAACATTGGTTGATTCTCCACATAAGTTTTGCAACTGTCCACATTAGATTAAGCCATATCAGATCAAATAAAATGCAATAAGAAAAATTATGCTGAAAATCACTAAGGGTGGCAGAGTGGAATTTGCACAATTCAAGTTTCATTTATTGCTGGGAAACATTTTCCATTGCTGAGACTAAAAATCAAAAGCTGGAAAATATGATGAATAACTGGGAGAGTTGGCAGCTATGGCTTACCAAAATAAAAATTATTTCCCAAGCTCAAGTGACATCTACAGTAAACCCTCGTAACGCAAACTCGCTTAAAATGAACATTTGGTTAACAAACAAAATTTCGGCATCGGCACCGATGTGTATGATCCTCTAGAAAGTTTTTATCAGTTAACACGAATTACAAACTATTTTTCAGCTCGCAGCATCATATTTTTTATTTAACACAAACTAGGTTTTTGATATTTTGTTCTTGTTTCTCTGCTAGGGCTGCATTCAGAAATGTTCCACCCCATTTCATTAAAAACTTCGCACAGTATACTGTATTCTTAAAATGTAGCCTGCACAAGTAACAATTGCAATACTAAGCAAAACTGGTTGCATAAAATTGACCGAGTGAAAGGAAAGTATGCCTCATGTGATGTCTACAATATAGATGAAACTGGACTTTTTTACTAACTTAAGTTGTACCCTCAGAATAAAAGGTGATAAGTGCCATAGTGGAGTATGCAGTTGTGTTTGAGGTGCAAGAAATGCCATCAAAACTCCTTCAATACGAAAATACATGTCCAAGATATAAATATCAAATAAGTGTTAAAGACATTTTATAATAATAATTTAAAAAAAGGAGAGATGATAATTATACTATATATGGATGTAGCACTTCTTTCTACAAAGGTAGATATTGGTATGCACGAGTTTATGCAGAGAGGTTGCTTTCACCTTTATTTAATGATATGAATAGCTTGTGAAATAGAGTAATGACAGAATTTTAATCAGAAATTTCCAAATTTTACTTCTGGATATTGCATACAATGCGAGAAATAATAACTTTCCATGTTCAATCTAAATTCGTCATTTTAAATTATAGTAAATCAATAGCTCATTCAATGGTATTACTCTTATACTTACAAGAAAATAAACTAAATAGTCTTATATTTACAAATAATATATTAAATAAATTTAATTGTATCAGTTAATTTTTTTGGGGGGGGAGGGGAAATGATTAAGCCATAAAATCAGAAGTTTAAAAGACACTTTTCCAAT